AAAAGTAGCCCAAGAGTTGGCGGTGGGTGGTGATGACTAGCTGCCTTCCCTCTAGTCTTACACTGCTAAATTAGGGATGGCTAGCGCAGATAGCTTTCGTGTAGCTTTGCGTGAAATCCGTAACAAACAAACAAACTTTTGGTTAATATATTTTATTTACCACTTGATATATATTTTGTTACTTATTAGAATTTCGAACGGTCTGAAACCGAACTAAATGATACTTTAAATTTAGTAGTTAAATTGTACTTTGGATTTAGCAATTAAGTAAAAACCGATATATAGTCAATTTATGATACTTGCCAACAAAATTAATACAACACAATTTTCCTTTTTTAAACACAAATACGTTTTAATATACACTGAGTATGTACACAGAATTTGGGAATCCAGATTTCGACAGTCAAAAGAATCATCGTGCAGTTCAGGAAACACGGCAAGGAAACAACTGAGCAGCGTCCGGGTCGTCCTGGTACATCGGAGAGGACAAAAAGGGCTGTCAAGAGGAGCATCGAAATGGATCCCAGTTTAACGACTGCAGAAGTGGCCAAAGCTGGTGGGATGAGCCCGAAATCTGTTCAACGGATTTTCCACAGATTGTGTTATCGTTGCAGAGCAGCTAGATGGAAGCCCTTGTTAAGACCTGCCAACATAGTCAAACGAAAGAAGTGGGCAAGTGATATGATGACCAGGGCCTCTGGACTTTTGGGAGACCGTATTGTTCTCAGACGAATCAAGAGTCGCTCAATTTTCGGACAGTAGAAGGATATGGGTCTGGAGAATGCCTCACCAAGAGTTTTGGCTCAACAGATTGCAGCCAACTGTGAAGCAGGGTAGTTTCAGCGTGATGGTTTGGGGAGCTGTTTGGGTTGTTGGGAAATGGAGCTTAGTGGGGTGCGTTGGCAACATAAATTTTGCGAAATACGTCGAAGTATTGGAGGAAGGACTCTTGCCACTTTATTCCTCGGGTTTCGTGGACAAGAACACAACGTTGTTCCAGGAAGATGGAGCACCGTGTCACACTGCTAGAAACACCCAAAAGTGGCAGGAAGAAAATGGTATCCAGAAGATGCCTTGGCAGAGCCAATCTCCTGACATGAACCCCATTCAAAACCTCTGGGCCATACTCGACCGGCAAGTCAAGAAACAACCAAAAACCAACATCGAAGAGCGATCTACTCCAAGTTTTGAAGCAAGAGTGGGCG